AATATTTGTAAATCACTGGTTTCGAATAAGAAATAAACCACGTTTAAATTGTATTTGTACGCCAGTGATGACAGCGTTTGATAATCTTGCTGTCTGTCGGAGTGAGCGTTTCCACTAGCTCACCGGGTAGAATGTAACCCGCCACGCGTGGTCTATTGTCGCCTGCCTCGAGCGTGTGGAGACCAGGTAGTGAAGCGTTAATCATCGTGGCAAAATCATCACCATCAATTTGGAACAATCTCGGTACTTGAAGATGAAAGAAATCACCAATAATCCGCCATAATCGCGAATTAAGTGAGTCGCTAATGCGTGATTGTTGATGGACAAAGCTGAGAAGAATAGCACTAGGATCTATTGAGTTTGACTCGGGAGGGAGGGCTTTATTCTCGCCATACCAAGATTTTACCATTTTGCTGTCAGCCATCGAAGCTATTCCCATCACTACAATGTTCACGGTAGAAAGCATGACCCTGAAGATTATCGAATTCGAAATTCAAAATCAATGTATCGAAACGTCTCGTCGTTCCGCTGACGTTCTATTAAGTAAAATAACTAACCTCACAAACAAAACTATAAATACAAATAGACAAACACAAACGAATGAACGAACGTATACAACCGAACAAACAAGCATACAAAACAAACGAATACGAAATTAAGCAAACAAACAAAGAAACAAATGAACAAACTTACAACGTACCCCTACAAAAAAAACTTTAAAGGTAAAGATCAGGAGTTTTAGAAACGCCCCCCTCTCAAAAAAAAAATGAAATGGAAGCTCTTAGGCAATTACCAATCATGACTTGTGAAAGAATATGTTTTGACTAATACGTGATCATACAAATTTTGCCGAGAAACCGCCTACTAATTAATATATTTGGTAAATTATTATATCTATTTGGACCTGATAGATATAACGCACGTGTCGCACACGTGTGTGTGTGTGTGTGTGTGTGTGGGGGGGGGGGGGGGGGGGGTAGTCCCATATTCTGTGTACATTGCTTGTAACTTCATCAAGACTGGCCCGAACTTCTTATCATTTTGATGTTTCCAGAACCTTGCAGTACACACCAATAATTATATGCTATGATCAACGTTTCTGATCGATCAATTCCATAACGTTTCTTTCACAATGCAATCGCATGACCATGACTGGTCTTTATCTTTATTAAAAATGACCTTACTCATAAATATTCATTAATGTAGTTCTTTGAAGACATAATTTCTCCTTGAAAAGACATTGCTACAATCATGAAAACGAATTATTGTGAAGATAAATTAAGCGCATTGTTCATTTCACGTTTCTTGTTGATTCTTATTACATATTTAGTTTAACCGTACTTTTCATTTCACTTGTTTTGTAAAGCGCTTAGAAACTGTACTTGTATACCAGCGCTATATAAATCTTAATTATTATTATTATTATAAAGGCAAACCCAGTATGAAATTTGAACTTAATTTTGAAAAGTGTGTGTGCGTGTGTGTGTGTGTGTGGTGGGTTACAATTTGGGCTAACTTGATTAGACTTTCAATATTTTGTTTAAAAAAACATACTTTTTTTGAGTTATTTAATGTTATTGATTCTTGACTCGCCAGCTTGACGCCATGCGATTATTGCATAAAAAGGAGCAAGTTTTTCTCTGCCATTATAATTTTGCCTTGACTACAGTGATTACCTGTCAAACTGACCACAATCTTTATCAGTAGGAAATCTGTTTCAAAGATGGAGCAGGTCTTAATACGAAGTGATGAACAATTGGTTTCCACTGCGAATCAAATCCTATGTTTGCAAACAAATTTCACTTGTTCTCTTTCAAACAGATTAAGATTTGAGGGATGCGTACTGAAAAGACAGAATAACGCCAAAACCTACGGGTGGCGCAGTGAGGAGTCAATGCCTAATCCTAATCCGGATTATGGATTTATGGTTTACAGCGGGGAAAAAAGACTAAAATTGGTGGTGAGAGTTGTCTAGCAGCTGCAAATCTGAAACATTCTCTTTCTGTCTTTCATGCTGGGATCTGCCAATCCAGATATTTGAAGATAGCTGATAAAGAGAATGAAAACAGAAGAGCAACAAAAACGTCAGGTCTGATTATGGGGTGTATAGTTCCTTTGTCAGATTACTGCCAAGTGGTGACCGACCACCCGTCTCTTGAAGTGTTTAAATTCGTTACACACAGATATATTGCAGAAGTAACCAAAACACGTATTCCAGTCGGCCACAAAAAACTATTTTGTCAAAGTGCAAAACACACTAGATTCTCCATACAACATATTTCGACTCGAAGAATAATATGAATAACGCTCACAGATCAAAAACAAAATCTGCAAGTACTTTTCTCACCACGCCCCCAAATTATTACAGCCTGAAATATTATATCTTCGACATTCCAATCGTAATATAATTAATTGAAAATTGGTATATCTTAACTTCAGAGTTTGATGTCAATTTACCATTATGCCATCTCCCCATCCTCGAAATTAACATGAAAAAACCTATGGTCTGAAATGGTTATGGTTATATATTATCCTGGTGAAACAGCAGAGGTTATTGCAAATGTAATCAATGCTTATCTTGAAAAAAAATCCTAAGTTAAAAGATAGACATTTAACATACACGTTTTAATTAATGACGTAAAACTATACAAAAATGTTTTTTTAACAAAAAAAGCTGTACTTCTAAAAAAGAATAAGGAACTTAATATCTCACAATATTGCACTTTTATTTCATAAAAATATATTACAAAGTAAACTAGATTATTGCGACGTGGTTTCAAGAAATAATTATGAAGAAAAGTTCTGTAAAGAAGCCACAGATTCTTTAAAGTAGAGCCCTTGGAACTCTATTACAAGTTGATGCAAGATATTCCTCAACTCTTCCGTAACAATTGAAAGTTGATTCCTCAAGTATGAGAAGGAACAAGAATACTTGTTTAAGGTTCTAGGACAAAGAAACCCAAGGACAATCAGTACCCCCTGAAAATTACCCCTTGGACAATCACACTCCTCCCCGAGGACAATTACTAAGAGCAAAATTTAAACAACTTATTATCAGGGTGAACTTCCCAGGCGAGGGGGGGGGTAATTGTCCTGGAGTAATTTTAGGGGTGGCGGGTAAATTGTTCTCGGTGGTAATTTTGAGAGATTTATGTTAAATGTATCAAGTCGAGGTGACTGAGACATCACTATCTCCCAATGGACGTAGCACCGAATGTAAAGATAATACCTATGGCTTCCATTGACCTCGCATTTGGAAAATGAATTTTACTGAATTTTATAAATAAATTAGTTCCTAAAAAGAAAATAATGGCTTCACCATCAGCTGGCATTAAAGTAGTCTCGAAAAGACATAATGTTCAGCCACCAAGCTATAACACCAGTGCTCCTCTGCCTTGGTACCGCGGGGATCATAACCCTTACACTCGTAATCAAATGAAGCTGACGTGCATGCCAGTCATTATTTTGACTGGTCGCTGAAAAACTGATTCCCGCGAGTGAGCTGGGATGGGGGAAATGGTTAAAAAAAAACATGTTACTCTCATATTATTGCCATGGGAAATATTTGAGGAAAATTCAAACTGAAAGAAAATATGGGTACGCGCAGGATTTTGCATAAATCTTTTAATAATATCGAAAGTGATGTACAATCAGTAGCTAAACTCTTTGTAAGAAAGTTAGTACATAATGCGTTTGTATAATCATGATGAATGCACATACACAGACATTCATTGCTATGAACATTCGTCATCTTTAAATGATCCCAAGCATTTTCGATAAATCAACTTAACGTTTACACATCTCCTTCTGCAATGTTCGGATAATAAAACGTAGCAAAGACGTGTTAAACATAATCTGAACATGATTTACATGCAGATATACTCGAATATAAACTCAATCGTTATTGCCATCTTCGGAATATTATGGAGGATTTCTAAATCTCTCGATGTGAAGAAATATCTCCATGCATGCTGTCCTTGCTTGTTTTGTACCTTGATAAGATTATTGCAATATTTTATCCGCTAAATATAAAAGAAAACTCGAAAATGTTCAGAACCATCCACCTCTGTTGTTTTTAAGTTTAGGACTAATAATGTGCCGGTCATTACTCTGTTTTTTTTTTAATTCTACCAAACGGCATTAATCTTAGGTTGTGTTATACAACATTCTCAATCATTTTTCTCCTAAATACCTAAACGACATCCTGAAACTATGCGCAGCCCTTACACCATATTTTACTCGATAATATTATTGGCAAATCGTAAAATATATATACTTTTCATGACGTCACACTCTTCTGTACTACAACACGTTTTGCAATGGCTTCACGAAAAGAAACAACTTTGAACAACGTGCCACGTTGTATGTTCTCAGAGATGACTTATCCCGATACCTTCAACAGATCCATCAAAGTTTACTTCTTCCCACAGTAATAATTATATTCATAAGACATTTTCTTACATTGTTTCCCTTCTCAATTTTGTGAGAGAAAAGGGAGACAATATTACTTACGTATCCAACATTTAAGGGGAGCTAGCAAGTTGCAATGATAGCAGAAGAAACAATTTAACCTTATGTTACAAGTTAATAACCGTGATACTAAACATTTGAAAAATTAAACCGCAATGACATTTGAGATTTTCAAATCGCTAATTAGAATATAAGTAAAGTGCTTTTGAATGACTTAGTAATTTGGAGGCCGGCATTCACGTATACGTATTTCAGATGGAGGCCTTACTCGCGTGTCTTAGCTTACGGCGAGTGCTGACTATCAACCAATCAGCGTCCAGGAAAGCTTGCCGTCACGCGTCTACTTTCCACAAGTCCACCTAACGCTTTTTGACCAATGGTCAAAGAGAATATAAAGAAAAGAAAAGATGACAAAAAGAAACGTGCCCATCAGGTTATAAACGGAGCGTATATAGGGCTTCACTCTTGCCGAACAACTTGATTACTCAAGCAGGAACGACTTTCAAAGAAAGAACAGCTATCGAAAAAGGAAACCTTTTCTTCAATCATTCTTGTACTTCATGATCTAGAGGCAGTACTGACAGGTAGGTTATATCACAATATTTCAAACATCTCCACATTCATTATCGTATTTGTAAGTGAGTTTTCAATGCATCTTTTCGGTATTATTCCGCGATTATTTTTAAGATCACAGTGCTTTGGTAAAAATTGAAGTACTATCAAACAGTCAACGGCTCAGGTAGTAGGGATTATTCAAGGTCCTGTTATCATGGTTATGGGTCAAAGTGGATGTTTAAGAAAGTTAGTGTAAATAAGTGTTAATGCAAGAAGGATGGGAGAATAAAATGTGTTGATTTTAACCACCTGACTATAATCAAGCACTTTAAAAAGATAAGGGATAGAATGAGATGATGAGAACTGTGTGTTATGATTGGTTTTCGGCAATTAGGTGTGACTTCGACATCCTAAATTTTTTAAACAGTCCTCTGTCCAACATGACAAGTAATTATTTCTGGCTAGTATGGGGTGTAGGACTAGGGTCATGTTAGCTTTCTTTTACTTTATGTTTGCCTGAATTACATACGAATACTTAATTTCTCCACCTTTAAAAAACAAAGAAAACCTTATCACACTGATAAATCTACTTTTGAACCACACATTCTTTTAAACACTAATTTCTTCTGTCCAAGATCATTTTGTCATGAGTGCAAATGTGTTCTTTGTGTTCGGACGTTGAATTTCTTTTCGCGGTGTTATGTTATTTCATAACCATCGTCTTATTCGTGAGTAAAAACATGACTGAAAAAAACCCCGATAATTTGTCTTGCATTTAGAATGACAGGAGAGGCGCTTTCAGTCTTGCAGAACATGCCTAGCAGTTTCAGTCCATCATCTCACAATGAGGATAGCTCGTCATCAACCACGAGCTCGGCTTCTTCCTTGGGACATCATCATCGGCCGATGAGGCCCCAATCGCCTCCGGCTTCGCCCAGTTACCACGAGCTCATGACCGTACCTAACGCATACGAACGCACCCTGCCTCCGTCGTACAACTACCAGCAAACAGCATCGGTCGTACCGTGGATGACGTGCGCCTCGACACCCGATCTTCGTCGCTCTGTTGACATGGGATTGCCCGGGTCTGATCTAAGCATGTATGGTAGTAGGGATGGATTCAGCAACTTTCTAAACATCTCCTCGGAGTCTCTGGGTTCCTTCAAACTTGGAAGCAATGGAGAGCTCTTACTGGATAGAGACTCCCTAAAGGGTGGCAGCATGATCAGCAATCAGGGATCAATCGACAGTGGTTTTGGGTAAGCATTCTCTCATACATTCTACATGAAGAGGTGTCGAAGTCGTGTGGTTTTAACACTTGACTGCCGATGCGAAGGTCGTGGGTTCAAAGCCCGTCCCACGGCAATCGCGTCATTTGGCAAGACGTGAATCTACATCTGCCACTCTCCACTGAAATCGGTAGACTATAGCTAGTCTGAGCCTGGGTAACATATAGCGTCTTGAGCACCTTGTGTGGTGGACATGGCTGTGCGCTTATAATATATCCGATATTATAATCATAATAATTATTATTATTAATAATAATATGATTATTATTATCATTTATTATAGTTATTTGACAGTATACAACAACTAATGACGAAGGCGGCTGGGAGGGTCCGATGCGGTGGGGCTCTCAGCCTCCGAGAATATTGAAAATATCGATATTTAGGCAACTGCTATTTTAATATTAGGGCACTCGCCACCTCAGAGTCAGGCAAAGAGGTGGTTTGTATGTTTCATGTTGTCTATCTCGCATACTTTGATGATAAAATTATATTTTCTTTGTAGAAAAGTGTAAAAAGTACATAATATTTTTCGTTGTTCCCTCAATTTCAACGTCAGACTACCATGAGGTTGGATATTTTCTGTAATTGCTTTCGGAATATTTATTGTATAAGATCTATGGCAATGTCCATTCTTTATCATTAGCGATATCATGGGTTTATTTGAGATTACGAGCATCGATTGATGCCCATGTTCTTCGGTGTTCTCGGAAAATCTCTTACTGAGTTAATTTGAAAAAGGATTTTTTTTTGTTGTAAGTTCAGTCATAGGTTTAATTAGGAAGGGAATCTAAGCTTATAGAGCGAACTTTTCAAACTGAATCTAGAACAAGGAAATGACCAAGTGTTAAAATGGGGATGCATTTCAATATCAGCTCTCAGGGAAAAAATGTCCACTTTAAAGTACAATAATTGGACTACGATTGCTAAAGATAGATGATTCGTATTTGAAAACCTGGAGTGTGGTTAAGATGAATCAGCCATTCTTCTGTTATATTGTCCAACAAAAGTTCTTTTCAAGGAAAGTGAACAAGATAGATTTACAGTGCTTTTGACACAAATACTTCAATGTCGCAGCAGGATGCCGTCAAGAATTGGTGCTTCACTCTCTTCATGGGTGTGTTCCTTTTTATGAATCATGGCTTTCGAGAAGCACTCTGTAATCGAGATAAAAAATTGTTTAATGGACAAGTTGATAGGTCTTTGAAGATATCTCCATTGCAGCATTCTGTACAGTATAGTTGATTCTTCTTTGATCTGTTCTCAAAACTTTGAATCCAAAAAAAGGCGTGATGTGGCTATCAACTTTGTAAAACGAAATGTAACTTTTCTTTTGATAGAGAATGGGTCTTTTAACATAATACGCAAATACTGGAAAGTCTGGAATTGGTAAAAATTATAAATTAGTTGATATTGATAGACGATTGTAATATTACAATGACGTTTATACTTTTCAAACGTGCTTTTCTTATTAGGTGCCCCACTTTATCCGTAATTGTAATGCATTTGTATGACATCAGTATTCTGGTCTTCATATTTACGTTATTACAGTTATCTTTATTCTAATTCTTAGTGAATATTGTATATTCTAATTAAGTGTTATAAGAGATCACAATGAACTAAGAATTTGATAATTTTAATGACCGCAGGTCGATGTTCCTGAGCAGTTTGGTAAATGATCAGCATCAGTTAGGATCCCTGAAAGAGCTGAGCCATACGGAGGTTGCGGATACCCTGCTGTCTCTGAAACATTCGAGAATGAAGATCAACCAGTTCGGACCATCGGCTGCTTCTGCGCCAGCCAATCCTGTTGTCGATCAGCCGTACCGAACCAAGGAACTGACATGGAGTACTGGGTCGGTGCCAGCCAGTATCGCTCCATCAGATCCATACGGTCCTGTTCGAAGTGTGAGTTTATCATATTCATGCTTTTACTTTTATTCATTCCATCATATTATTTCGTCGTTCTTTTATTACCAAAGAATTGGTCTATATAGGTGTATTATCATTAAGTGCTATTTATAATGCATTCCTATTCATTGTATCATCTCTTTCTTAATGTAATATTTTTCCCCTTAATTCTAACCGTACTGGGGTACAAACAACTACATCTGTTGTGACAAGGCATTTCTGCAGAGTTTAATGTTATTATACTGGTTGAAATAAAAACCTGACAATTCAATTCCGTACTTGATAAATGATTCGCTCAAACTACTAAAGAAAAATCTAGGTACTATAGTTATAGTGCTAACAGTAAATTTATTTGCCATAATGATTGATTATAAGTTGATCTGTTTTCAAGCCAGAATAAACATTAAGCGTCTAAATCATAATCGAATAAATGAAGAAACATATGAACTTATATCGGTTTGTCATGACCCTAACAGCGTCGCTACCACAGTCTGGACTGCGATCACGAGCACGATGAGGAAGGCTCTCTATCAAGTCTACAACATTTCCCAAGCATTTCTTCGCTGGATTCCGGCTCATATCTTGGTAACTACTGGTTGAGAGATCCCCATGGTGGCAGTTCACAGTCATCTTCTCGTCATCTTCTTGCTTCGAGTGGAGACTTAATCGCAAAGGCACTCTCAAGCTCATCCTTAGGGTGAGTCATTGGTCTCAGGAATGCTCATATTACGTACATTTGAGATTTCATGCGGTAGAATGTGAATAAGGTATCCGGTTTTTAGAATTCAGTGGGCTTTCATTTCAATTCAATAATGTTTTATTTGACAATGCTTTGAATCCCAAGGCTGAATTGCGCTTGTTAAATCAAATAAAATTAAATCATCAATGTCATTTCACATTACATTATACCATTAAAACAAAAAACATTCTAAAAACCAGTCTTTTCATAATTATACGTTATAGATTGGTGGATGGGTATGAAACTGGTCGTTTACCAGAGACGGCATACTGGACCCTCTCTCAGTCAACACCCAGCGTGTTCGAGCCCACCCAAGACCGCTACATCAGTGCATCCAACACCAGCGATTACCATGCCAACAGCCCAGGCAGCAGCGCTCAGCTCTATACCTCATCCCGCGTGTCAACCATCAAATCAACCGATCAACTCGACGCTTACGCTTCGGCACCGACTATGTTACACTCGTCGAGATCGTCCTCCACGTCTACGATCGGGAGCCGGGAAGGTATCCGACCGGGCCTCACCCTCAGCACGTCATCCTTGACGTCATCGAAAATGCAGTCGAGCGCGTTGCCGACGCACCTCTGCCATTTCTGCGATAAAGAGTTCTCAAGGCCTGGCGCCCTTAAGACCCACACGAAGATCCACTTTGGTCAGAAGCAGTACATGTGTCACGTGTGTAGCAAGGCTTTCTTTCAGGCTGCAAACCTCAAAGCTCATCTACGGGTTCATAGCGGGGAGAAACCTTTCAGCTGCAACATCTGTAGGAAAGGATTTTCACAGGTAAGGTTACACCACTAAATATTTCTTCTTATATCGCTTTATGACGTGTAGTTCCAGTTCTACTTGAGTAGAAGAAAGAAATACACACATGGATGTCCACTTCACGTTTGGAGAGAGCTTCTATATCCCATAATTAAAGAAGACAAGTAGTACGGTTACGAAGAATCTGAACAGTTAACTAATCAAAACAATTTCAAAAGCCTGGTGCACCACAGATTGAAATGAGCGCCAGTTACAATCACACATTACACAATGATGCCAATCATATTTTGATTTGTGTGGGTTCTATAGGCTTCAAACAAAGTTGAAATTTTATTGTGTTAAAATAAGACTGCTCAAAAACGGCTTGGTATGTCTGACCAAATTTCTTCCCTCCAAATGACGTATTCGTATGGGATCCACATAGTAATAACACAATTATTTTTGTCTTTGTTTTAATATTTGCAGAGCTCATCTGTGAAGACACACATGCGTACCCATTCTGGTGAGCGTCCCTACACGTGTAAGCAATGCAATAGATCCTTCTCTGACAACTCGACACTGACCAAGCACCAGCGGATTCACTCGGGTCAGAAGCCCTACATCTGTAGCTGCTGTTGCCAGTCATTCTCGCAGTCGGGCAACCTCAGTCGACACATGAAGATCCACACAAAGTCGCAGGACTAGGTCCTATCGTGTAACTAGTCCCATGAACTATCGGTTATATTACCATACTTGCTCTTGCAACAATTATTGCTCTGCGTCGATTTCTTAAAATAATTCTTAACTTCAACCCTATATAGAGCCAGCGATATACCTAACCATAATCCTAACCCTAACCGTTACCCAACCCTATAGAGCCAGCGGTATACCTAACCATAATCCTAAACCTAACCCTAAACCTGACACCGAAGTACAACCCGAACCAAATATCTTTGACGAAATAAAGCCCGGAGCAATTGTCGCAAGAGCATAAATTATGTCGCGCCACCGAACTGTCATTATAACTCGTACAACTACAAATGTGTCAAGCCATGTTGTCGCATTATCGTGTTTATCGAATCTTAGGATTGTAAAAGTTCTTCACTTGTAATTTACTAGGAGTAACTCTCACATTATTTGGAGTCTCTATATGATTGTATGCACTTTTTTTTGCACAGACTTGTATATAATTCGAAAATAGTCTGTTACATATTACAATGGTTTAAAAGAATGTAAATAGACAATCGTAAAGAATTAATAGTATATATTTTAGCTTCTTTGATTCTTTCTCCTTTCGAAGAGAGATTGGCACATTGTGAATAATGATGTAATAAATTGTAAATTCTGCTCAAATTATTTAAGGGGTAAACATCATTGGCAGATCGGGGTGCATGACATGACAGAAACGACAAGTTTGATTATAACGGAAACCATCACTATGTTTTGCCATTTTGATTGTTAGAAAATGGAGATGATTATGAACAAATATTCTTGCCTGTTATATATATATTGTTGTTTTAATACATATCGACAAAGTGTGCAATTATCATAAAGTATAGTACAGTGTACAAAGATATCACGCTGTTTCATTTCCCCCTCATTTTTATCCTTGTCCCCGTCTGTCATGTATGTTGATTGTGTACTTGACATTATGAACATAATGGGGGCAGTAAGAGGGAGAGAGAGAGAGAGAGAGAGAGAGAGAAAGTGAGTGAGATAGAGAGGGAGGGAGAGAGAGAGAGACGGAGAGAGAGGGAGATAATTATATATAGAGAGAGAGAGAGAGAGAAAGAAGGAGATGGGAGGGGAGAAAGAAGGATATGAACGGGAAGAAGAGTGAGGTAAGATTGGGGAAAGAAGAGCGAAAGATTATGTGAAAGAGTGGGAAGAGGGACAAGAGCATGAGGGACAAGAGAGAGAGAGAGAGAGAGAGAGATTATTTGGTAATGAAACCTATCTTCTGGTGACTATTTCAAAACTATATATATATATAGGGCTTGTGTCCTTTAGAGAGAAAGTCCACCCCGAAATGTTGTTAGTTCTACTAAGAACAGGATATGAAAGAAATAGATCAGGGAAAATTTGAGCGAAATCCGATAACAAAAAATTGAATTTTTTGAAGTTGTAATCGCTCAACCACCAAAGGACAACTCTGTATTTTTGAGCTCCCTCCCATTTGCTCCGTACAGAAAATGTGTAAAAACTCAGATTGTCATAGTTCTTGATGAAGGGGTATGTTAGTTTCATACATGGGTTGTGTAATAACGTATACATAATTGTTAAATTTAGTACATGTATGATCAAATATTTTCTTGAGCGAAAATATAAATTTATGATTTTCTTATTATAGAAAATGGAACAGGCTCTCGTAAAATACATCACAGAGTCGTTAATTTGTGTTTCAACAATTTTAATTTAATAAATTTGTCTAACTTATTTTTTCGTCATCCAATATTGCTTTAACTTTCATTAATATATTTCTTTCATTTGCCCGCTTTCATTAAAACTAACTTAATTTCAGGTTGGACCTCTTAAGAAAACAAAGAAGACAAATCTTTTGCAGAAGAGTGAGAGAGTTAAAATATTTCATGATGTGATATAAGTGTTGTACTCATTATTCCTATATTAGTCCTCTTTCGCATAAAGAAATATACACTATCATCACCATCATCATCTTCAACGTCATTATTACATAAACTTATCAATATTACTTAATTGTTACGTCACAAATTTTGGAGGCTGCAATTCAGCGCGCACAATGATCTGAGCTGTATTTGCGCCTACGTCACAGGTTAACGCCCGTTTCTGTTATTACGTATGCGCGCAGATTGCTAACGCACTCCCGTTGCTATGCTACGTTGAACGAGAAGGCAGGCCTTTTTTTATAGGCATTGGATTATAATGTAGAAAGTTGAACAAATTCGCTCTCAGACGTATCAAGTAAAGATGTAGTTTATCAAAGGCACAATGAAGACAGATGGTGAGTTCAAATCATTAAAATGATCTTTTCGACAAAAGTTTTTTTTAGACGTTACAGAGGAATATGTATCAAGTCACGTGTAAATAGTTTTTGTTGTATACCCAGTCGTTGTGTGTCTGGACAGGTTGTGTTTCCGGACAGTTAATTTAAAACAGCAATTTGAAGAAATTGACAAAGAAGTTCTTGTAAAATCTTATAAGACTTATTCTGGACAATACTATAGAGGACAAACATTCATGATGGTTATTGCTATTTGATTACTAATTTTCATTGAAACTGAGGTCAAAATAAAAGGCTTGTGTTTGTTAGGTTTCCAGACGCCGCACCCCCATCATTATAGCATATTATATAGCTGTTGTTTGTATGTTTTTTTGTTATTGATCGTCTGCTTGTTGTTTTGATGAAGCAGCAATTAGGCAATAACACGAATCTTGTTTTTGCCCAGTAAGTTTTCAGCAATTAGCCTGATAAGGGAAAATGAATCAATAACTAGTCTAGAGTGATGAATATCTTCCTCTCTCCCATGCATGTCTTTCCAAAGTCGTTTTCATTTGACAACATGACATTTTTATATTTACTTATTTTCAAATTTGTCGTGAAAAACTCCTCAAACCTCAAAACCCTTCCCAGTTTACGGATAAATAAAATTAGGAATTGTAAGATTATATTGAAGCCTAACGCACGCAATCGATAGAATTATAACAGATCTGGTTGATAATTCAAACACTACTTTATATGGATAGAGAATATCAAATATTAACAAAACAATGATGAAGCAATAACATTTAATGTTAGTTATCCAATCGTTGTGTGTCCGGGCGGGTTGGCTATCGCCGGTCAGTTGATTTTAAACAGTAATTTGAAAAAATTTGTTAAACATATAGTTTGTGACTGATGTTGCACTGTATTATAAATAAAAAGGAGATTCACAGTTAGTGCTTTTTTATGCATATATGTTTTAAAGTTAATTCAAAAGTAACAGCTTTAATTTTAATTAGCGTTCGGGCATGCAACACCTATTGTAAAGATATTTTAACACATTTTATAAAACTGTTACGGCACTTTCGATCTCGAAACTGCCCTCGAACATCAACCATGCACACAAACCATAGGTAACAGAATAGAAGAGAGGAGTCTCTAGTTCTATTCATTAACTTTTTCTTTGATTACTTTTCTTCCACAAAAAGGTCCCCATTAATTTGGCTCCTGGGTATGGAGCGGCAAACCTGGTTATGACAAGTAACCAAGGAACGGAACAAGGAAGTGGTGAAGAGGAGGGGGCAGTGGGGAAGGACGATGTGCGGATATGCGAGTTATTTGAACGGGCGGAACTAGGTCATCCGTTCGGTTATCGTCGTGATGTCACCCTACTCATGGATGTGCTATGCGACAGAATGTCAAGGTATCTTTGCTTCAGAGTCTAAATAAAATCCGGTCACCGGTCACTCAATTTTTTTTTTTTTTTAAGCACTTCCAGATTATTTTGAAGCGCTATTTTTTTAGGGATTCAATAATACACCATATCACAGACACTGATAACATGTAGGGCCATGCATCTCAGATTTGCAAAACTGGAAACATGGTTAAACAATGCTTTTATGTACTTAAAAATTCAATAGACTTAGTGATCCCGGAGAGCCTATGGTAAAATAGATTTCAAAAGCAATATGCCATCAATGAATTCAGTAAATATAATACAATGCAGTGGCGTACGCAGGATTTTTTCAAGGGGGGGGGGGTTTCAAATCGGGCCCAAAATTTTGCAACGACTCAGCCAGCCGCTGAATAAGCGGGGGGGGGGGGGGGGGGGGTGGGCGTACACACCTTTTTTTTTTTTTTTAGAGTCCCAAAAAATCGCAACGACTCAGCCAGCCGCTGAATAAGTGGGGGGGGGGGGTGTAAGGGGACACATTTTTTTTTTTTTTTTTTTTTTTTTTTTTTTTTTTTGGGGGGGGGGGGGGGGGGGGGGGGGGGGGTCTCGGAATTGAAAATTTGACATTTTGTCCAGTTGGGGGGGGGGGTAAGGTTACCTTTTTAAGGTCAGCCATTGGCCATTTTTTTTCAGCCATTTTTATTAAATTTTTTTTATTATTTATTTAATTTTTTTTTTTTTTTTTTTAAATCTCAGAAGGTTTTTTTTCTTCAAAATAATAAACATAAAACATACACATAATAAAAACTCGAGGGGGGGGGGGTTTAACCCCCACCCCCTCCTGCGTACGCGCCTGATACAATGACAGTACATTATTGTAGCCAAGAAACCTTGTCAGAGGCAACGAGAGCAAGGGGACCGATGATTATGATGATAAAAAGAAGAACAACAATAATAATAAGTATAAAAATAACAACAACAAATACTAAGACTACTAAGAATAAGAACAGTAGTATTAAACATAATAATAATAATAATAATAATAATAATAAACATACATAATAAGAATAATGGTGAGGGCAATGATGATGATAACAATAATAATAGTATTGATAAAATAGCTAAAATTGTAATTGTATATTAGCATCATTAGAACGCTTCTCAAATACGGATGTATTGCCAAAGGACGTTATTGCCTGGGTGAGATTCGATCCCTCAATCCTCGGTTTGAGAGTCAAACGAATGAACCACTATACCAAAATATTCCTATTGCTATTTCTACCCTCTGCCCCTGGTTTAAATCCTTTATGGAAATTGAGAGAAAGATTCTCCAGTACTATGATGTGTTGATAAGTTTTACAGAGGGCCTTATTCTCGCTGCTGAAATGTACTTTAAAAAAAAATTCAGCCACGCAGATATCGAAAATCAAAACAGAACATGAGTAAATAATAAATATTTTTGTACTTAATCCTTGTTTTTAATATTTTCGTTGTTTTGTCCTTTCATACTTGACATTTCATTTTATCTTAGTCAGTTATTGTTTTTTTTTTTACTTTCTTTCCCTTTCTCCCCCTATTCCTCTTATTGTTGTT